ACTTTGTGAGGGAGGCTGAAGCTATGGCAAGAATTCGTCATTTCCTTTGCCAGAATAACAAAAAGTCCCCTGTTCGGGTACCTCGTGTGATACGAGACATGGTCAGCAGGTATGATCAGGTGAAGAAAATTTGTTTTGTCCTAGTTGCATAGTGAAACGTGAGATGAGACTATTTACTTTAGCTCCTCTATTGGTTAGTAATTATATTGTGTTTCTATTAATGTGTTTAACTTTGTCAAGGCTTTTTTTAACCTATAAGTGTTTAACTTTGTTATGACTTGACTAAGTATCGAACAAAAATCGACTAGTTTCTCCGCTGTGATGCTAGTCCATAGTACGTACATGTCAGATCCTTAACATAAAGCTTTTCTTCAAGCGCACTGTTATTTGCAAGGCATAGTCCATGATACACGTGGATCGCTTTGTAATTTGCTGTTTGTTTCATACTCACTTTATTATAAGCTTTATAGTCTCCCTGATACTGTAATTGCAAGACAATCAAATATTTGTTTGCATGTACTGAGGATTGATATAACATTTTATGTCGTCCTGGTTCTTCCTGAAAGAAATATTACTTTTGACCACCTACTCATGGAATTAACCCTCATACACTGGGTGACACATGTGTAGTCTACTAACGGCCACATGCTATGGGACTTGAATGTGAGATTGGCTCAACATTGCTGTTTAAAGATTTTTCTAGTGGGATCATTTCATTTGAATGATATCTTATCAAGTCTATTTGGCCTTGCCTTAGTCATTCTATGTTTTTCTCTATATTATATATTCTTCAGATAAGTTGCTTCAGGGTAGTTTTAACCAAATATGAGGAGTTTTACAAGTGGTCTGGTGTTTTTCCTTTTAGAAAGAATATTTGATGTATTGATTTGATATTGTGGGCATATTTTAGTAGCTCTCTCATAAATAAAGATAGTGATCACAAAGGTCAATTAAATATGAACTCCTACATAGAAAGAGATGAGTGGGTGGGAGGTATTTGCGTCAGATTATATGGGAGTGGATGCTGGGTGTTTGCACTCTACTAGTTCTACAAAAAGGTAATAGTTAGCAAATAGAGGTGGAGTGACAGGAGGAAATACTTTTGAAAGAACCAAAAAAATAAAAGGAAAAAGAAAACCTTATGCTTGTTGCGTCTGGTGCTGGATTACATCCTGTAGCAGGGCACCTTGAAACACATAAAGTTATGTAATCCACCACTTAAGGTTAGCTTTTGTTTTGTATGTTTAGTTCAAGAACTCTACTTCTACCCCCTTATATCTACTTCTGAAGATGTCAAAGGGGCATTTCCATATGCTTATGCAGCTCCACAAGTTCCACTTATTATATCTTATATTCTCTTCTCTGCATTAGTTTGATTTTTTGAGCTAATTTTGACAATGATGGGAATAACTATTTCTCGCATGAATTTTGGTTTATTTCTGTTGATATTCTACCTATGTGTATCCACCTGAGCAATCACTTTCTTTATGCTGCTACTAGGAGGGTTTTAGTGATGGAATACATTGATGGCATACCCATTTTGAAGCTAGGAGATGAAATGGCAAAGAGAGGCATACATCCTGATGGCAAGTTAGCGGCAGCTGCAAAACAGTAAGTCCCTGAATTATCCTAAAACTTGTTCTGAACCTACCTGCTTGTTCATACACCGACACGTTTCCTTGATGTATACAAAGTCTTCTGCCTATGTTCCCCTCTAAAGTGGTCATTTTTCGTGTCCGTGTATATTTGAATGTCCATGCGGAACTCCTCTATGTTGCTCTTTTCTTAAAATGTTTATAGTGAAGCTCCCCCTTTTTCATTCTTAAAATGCAGGAATATCCTTAAAAATTTGTCACTTGCTTATGGACAAATGATACTCAAGAGTGGTTTCTTCCATGCAGATCCTCATCCGGGAAACATTCTGATCTGCAAAGGTTCTGAGGCAAGTGCACATTGGAATACCTAAAACTTATCCCTGAACGAAGCATTTACAGCCATCCTTCTCGCAATTAATGTACATCAAAGATTGTTATTTACATTATTCCTTTCAGGTTGCATTGCTTGATTATGGACAAGTGAAGGATCTTCCTGATGAACTGAGGCTTGGATATGCTAAGTTGGTTCTTGCGATTGCCGATAATGACCCTTTAAGAGCATCAGACAGCTATAGGTGCTATAATTTTCCCTGAAATTTTTTTGTTGTAAATTTATATTATTCCTCTTTCTGCTTTCACAGCAAAAGAGAATTAGTGCGTGTCTGTTACTCTCCAATTACTCTAGAATTGGAGAAATCAGTTACTGTCCTTTGTTTGGGCAGCGGTGTTATTTTTGCCAGTTGTTATGCACATGCACAGAGAGAGAGAGAGGCGAGGGAGGGGAGGGG